ATATATATACAAATACTATATGTTTCTGCCTCTTCTATACCAACGCACACATAGTATGGATATTTATTAATACAAACACACTTCTACACAAACAAATGCCCGCACGGACACATATATATATATACGTAAATGAGAAATTGCACACAGAACCGCACGTACATACGTCAGGGCACACACACATGTCCACCTACCTGTCCAATTGTATCGTGTCCGGATGTTGGTGACTCACGGCCCTGTAAGCTCAGACGCCCATCACTGCCTACCGGTGTGTCGCTACCTACGCCCATGCCTACCTCACTACCCACAGCTGGATCGCCCTCGACCCCGAGTGTGGGGGGTGGGGACACATTCCACGCTAACTGACCGTTGTACGGCCCGTTGCGAGCCCTTGGACTGCCAGAGGGGTCTTGCCTGGCCTGCGGTAGCCCTACTTGCTGCTGTAATTGGTATTGCGGGTGTGCTGGGTGTTGTTGTTGTGGTGGTGGTGGTGGTGGTTGTTGTTGTGGTTGCTGCTGTTGTTGCTGTAGTTGTTGCTGCTGTTGCAGGCGTTGTCTCTCGGCCATCATCTCATACATGCCAGGTGCCATGCCCCCTTCACTTTCGCCTAAACCACCTCTCAACGATCCCTGTAGCTGGGCCATGGCTTGTGCTTGTGCCTGTGCCTGTGCAGCCTGTACCTGCTGTTGGTTAGTAATCTGGCCTTGTGCATCCCACTCTGGTTGCCCAGGGTATCCCATGGTTTGCATTCCCCCACCAATGCCTACAGGCAGGTACATGAGTGGCCCGTATTCACTGCCATATTGCTGGGGAAAGTTCGGCATGTTCTGGTAGCCGTAGAACATTTGTTGCTGTTGCTGTTGCTGTTCGTCTTGCGGGTATGGCATGTAAGCGCCGGGGGCGTACGCAGCTGGTCCATACATATAGTACGGATACTGCCCTGTGCCTGTGCAAAAGAGAGGAGGATGAGAGTTGAATTTTTGAACCCAGGAGACAAAACTAAGCACCAATTTGTAGGTGGGAACACCGTATGGAAATTTTAAATAGTTTCTAAGTTTCCTTTGAAGCAATCTGAACATGTGAGGCCGCCGACCCCCTATTATAGAGCCCGTGTAGCGATGTTAGGTTGAAGAAGTGGTTATATAATTTCACAAGCAAATACAAATTGTTTTGAAGTTCGCTACATGGAGTGTTTTATATACATCTGTATCAAGGATAGATGAAATAATATATCGAAACACAATCTCAACTGTGTAAAGGATATTTTCTCGGTATTGAATTCGGAAACATATATTCTTATTCCCAAACATAGATTATGACGTATGCTACAGTGATACAGTGATCTATGGGAAAATTGAAGACAAGATGTACTTTTTCCACAATTTTTTTTACTAGCACTAATGCTTACAGAGAAAAAACACAATCCTGACTTCTTGATTGTCGACATAATTACATAACTGTCCGCAGGGAGTGAGTTTCATACATAATTTATTTCAAAAGTGAAGCTAATTGAACATATGTGAACATTAACACGCATACAAAACATATTTATGAATTTGTTTTACATATGCGATTCAGCTATATATATATATATATATACATATACATATGCAAGGATAAAGTCTTATTCGGACGTAAAAATCACACAAAAAAGGATACATACATAGGCATATATAAGTATCAATATGCGCAAAACCTGAGAGATGAATCTGCAGAAGAAGAAAAATCCTTGGGAGATATGGAATAAAATCTACAAAGCACCAT